ATCCGTCATTTCCGGTTTTAATTTTTTTTGGGCGACAACACAGATTAGCGCCGCCTGCTGTTATGGGGACGTATTACGCCTCGCGCACGCGCAGAACGTACGCGTCATTTTGGGTAGGTCGAAAGGTACTGTCAGTGTAGGGTAGTAGATCAACACACAATGTCCCCCACTCTTATAGTTGCCAGGAATTTACACTGGTATAACAAAAAACCTACCGTAGACTTTGTCTGAAATTCCACAGGACAAAATAACAAGAGCTCCAGCTCCAGTAGACAAAAGACAAACTGGTGCAAACAAAATGTAAATCAGTGTCGTCCAATGTAAATAAAAAAATACAAAATAACAACAATCACAAAGATCTAGCCTGGCAAATTGTACACCTGTATTTACCCAAAAGAACTGTTCTTGAGAGAAGGCATTGCTCAAGGAGTGCCTGATGCCCCAGACAGGCTTTCACAGGGGAAAAAACAGTTAAACACCTGTTGCCAGGGCCATCGGGGCTGTAGTGGGCCTATGGCTCCAAGGCCTGCACAGGCGCCCCATCAGCTACGACGACAAAGCACACAGCTATTTAGGTTTAGGTTTATTTATTTAGTTTGATATTATTTGTTGATTGTTTGTAAAACCTGAATTTAATTGTTATCAACCCAGAAAAGGATAAATAAAAACCTTTAAAAACTGAAACTGAATTGGTTCACCCTGGTTCATTGTCTTCCCCTGGACAATATCAAAAACATCATCCCCCCTAATCTCTTTTATACCAAAACAAAATCTCAACCCCATAAAATTCCAGCGTTGAGTTTAATATGCCAAGTGCAAACTCCAAAGGACATTTATACTCAGATAAGCAGCTAATGACAAAGATCTCTGAAGCAGTTCAGGAGGCTCTAATGTTGTGTTCCCACCAAAGGCAAAGCGAGTATTCGCCTTTATTTGTGTCTTTGTATTGTCTTTTTTTGTAATTTACAGTGTAAATAATTGTATTCGCCATGGTGGCAATGAGCATAACACACACTGCCTAGTCGTGTCAGACATCAGCAACTAGGTGTCGGCAGCACTGCATGTCTTAAATAACAACAACTCAGGAGAAGAGACCAAACTTCTTACCTCACGTTACATCTGTGTTGCCTAGAGCAGTGGAACATTTTTCCTTATCTTCTTTTCTATCATTGAGAGATTGACGAAGTGAAATATTTTATGGATATTTCATATTATATTCAATGCATAACAGTAACAGTAGATAACTGATAAGCTGTACAATGAACTCAGTGAACTGGATGAGAGATGAGTTTTCCTATTATTTTTAGGGACTTTTCATACAATTCTGTCTCTGTATTATATTAGTATAGGTATTTCTTTACAGGCTTATTTTTTATTAATTTTGTGTTTTTCTTTTCATTGTACATTAGCTTTTTGGTCATGAGAACTTTTCTAATGCGGGATGACTGTGAATATACACTCTGTTCAGCTCCCCTGCAAAGCTTTGGCTGGGGGTCGGGACTCCCAGGTAAGGAACCAGTGGCCTAGAGGTGTGAATCTTCACTGGCCTTGCGATACCTGTCAACAATTTAATGTCTCTCAATGTATTGAATCCTCAGTGTTCTATATTACTCCACAAGGCTACTTTTTCATCAATTAATACAAGCAGTCAGAAAACTCAATTTTTATTTAGAAAGTGCATTCAAAAATCAGATTACAACTGTCTACAATATAAAAAGCTGCACCTACCAGTATCCGTAAACATAACAGACATAAACAAAACTATTGCTATTATCGAAAGGAGTCAGTCATGACAGAAGTCCAGGAATCACATGTAATTGCTACTCGACTAGCTTTACTCCTGGGCTTTGGTTGCACCGTAGAGTGCAGGTAT